TCCGGTCCATTCTGGCCTCCCAGCCTTGTGCTGCTCCACCCCAGTCCTCCCAGGTCCATGTCTGGGTCACCTGGACATAACTCCAGTCTGTTTTCCTTTGTTTGTACTATATTTAGCTTGGTCCTTTCATCTGACTTTTGCTTACTGTACAAACCTGTGTCTGACTTTTGCTTACTGTACAAACCTGTGTCTGACTCTGGTATGCTGGTCACCTGGACTTTGGCTATTAGCCTCAGCACAGCCACTGTGGCTATCCTCACCTTGCTAATCATCTCACTAATAGCTTATTAACAAGTCTGGCTTTATGTTCATTACCCCAGACCAGCCTCATGTATTTAACCCCTGTACATACTTTGTAGCACCTCAGTCAGAATATCAACTTAGTATTACCCTAAACCCAGTACTACTCTCTGAGTCTACTCTATAGCTAAGGCCAAGCCTTAAGCTATCCCTGGCCCCTGTCCCAGACCTCTCTCTGGCTTGCATAAGGGTACAGCACATAAGCTGAGACCAAGGGAGGTAGATCCAACCCTGGACTGGCTTTCCCCTGTGCACACTTCAAGACCAGCTGGTTTTCCATGCTACCAGTCTTGTTCCTGCACTCCTGGCCTTAATTCCAGTCCTTCAGACTTAGCCCCTGACCTCCAGCCTTAACTCCAGTCCAACCACACTTGGCCCCTGTCTCCTGACCTTGACTCTGGCCACCCAGACTAGCCCCTGTCACCCAGTCTTGAAGCCCAGTCACCCGAGGGTAAACCTGTACTTGACACTGCACTTGTAGTTTCAACACCAGGTTCAACACCCATGTCTTGCCCTTTGTTTTGTATAGCATACTTAACTTGCTACTGTAGTAACACCACCTCAGATGTTTGCCACTTGCACACTTGACTGAGGTGGGTATAGTGTGTAATGCTCATGTTCATGTACTTCATGCTCATGTCATTACCTTAGATCTTTATATAGGTAATGCATATATAGATACTTGCTGCTCACACACTCAACTGAGATCTTTATATAGGTTTCTGTAAACTGGAGGCCCTGGTCATGTGCATAGGTCTCCTCTGGGGTTGGCTCTTGGGTTGAGGTGTTCCACTCCTTACACTATGCATCATCATGCAGACCACCTGGAAGCACATAGTTGGGTGTGTGTGCTTGAAAATCATGTACAGTAGCATGTGCCACTTGTCTGTCAACAATGTGGGAGCCAGTGACAATGATGTGATTGGCAATGAGTTTGTACACTGAGAGCATGTGTTTGGGACATCACAACATGGTACTAAATAATGATCTGCAGTGTGCAATGTGCATTGATGCTCTTCAGGTTCATGAGTGCTCTGTTACATGTCCCTCAATATTATATGTATTTTGACAGCCAAGAATGGCATTATTTCCACCTGACATTCCATACTGAAGGGAGATGAATGATTTCTCTCTTTCTGCCTGACTTTCCACACTGAAAGGACATTTTCATTTCATCACTCTTTCCACTTGACTTTCAGTACTGAGAGGACATGTATATTTTCTGTATATTTCACAACCAGCTGCATCACGAGTCTCTGCCCTGTGCGTCCAGGAGTGCCCAGAGGGCTAATATATGGACTTTGGTTAACAGTTTCCACATATGAATCTTGGTTCAAGAGTACACAGGTAATGATCTGCTTGGAAAAACATTAATCCATATCTCATAACAAAGAAGTAACTCACATGATGAAGAACGAAAAATTCTGCCATAGCCAGTACCATTCCAGTAAACCATGGCAATATTGACAAGGTGGTAAATATGATATAGAGGAATAGTGCAGGTAAGACAAAAATTGCAATGCAAGTATTTCTCTAGGGTCAGTGTCAGAGGAGACTTTGCACTAATAAACAAGACCTACCTCACTCAAGGGCTTTGCCTTCTTGACACTGAATTCATTCATACCCCCCTCCTCCATGAAATGCTTCCAGTCACCAAAGCTTTTGAGTTCAATTGCCATGTCTCTAGGAGTGCGACCCTCAGTGTCTTTTGCATGGATATTGGCTCCTACCTCTACAAGTCAGCGAAGAATAGCTCCATTCCCCCTAACCACAGCCCAGTGTAGTGGCAACAGGCTGACATCATCTTTAAGATTCAGGTTTGCACTGTGCTTCAGCAGTAAGTCAATGGACAATGCATCACCCAGGTAAGTGGCCCACATCAAAGGCATGTGTCCCTGCATATCATGAGAATCACTGTTAATGGGTTAGTGAAGAAGGTATAGCAGTGGCATGATGTAGGATGAATGGGTAACAAGGTGGAGAGCATTGTACCCTTGGGTGTCAGTGAAATTTAGATCTGTGTTACAAGATATCAGGAGATGGATCACGTAGAGGTACCAATTTCATGCAGCCTCTTGAAGGTAGGCCAAGATGAGGGACCTAGGAAGGAGACTACAATAGTAAGTCAGTAAGGTACAGTGGCTCAAAAAACTGACTGCATGTTTGTATGTTTTACATTAGTTATGACTAAACACAATAACCCCTCACCCTAGCCCTAAACCATGAGTGTATGAAATAGGGTACTGACTCTTGGCTTTCTATTGGTCCATGAATCAAGTGATTTGGATAGGAATTGATAGAATAGCAGCCATTTGAAAATGACATGTCATGCAGTCAGTTTTTTGACTTTAAGTTTTGATTACATAGTTTTGAATTTAACAAAGTTTAAAATGCTGTGAGGTGCTTACCAATGCTTACATGGTATATCACATGGTCTATTTGATAATTTGTCATCATACAAACAAAGCCAAACAATGAATTGGGACCATCAAGGCTCCCTCTTCTACCCCAACTCATGAAACCATCCTCCTGGTCCATCTGGGCCATTTTCTCAGAGTAATCCCCATAAATATTGGTGCCCACTACAGTAATGTCATCAGGGTATATGTCCAACACAATCAAACCCTTAAAAAATCTGCTTTCAGTCATCCCTGTGCTGTTTCCCCCACCCATACCTGATATGTTCTGCAATTAATCAGTACTGAGACAGCTGGAAATGCCATGGAGGTCAATCTGGCACATCAGAAAATGATGAACAAACAAAACACCTTCTAACCAGTACATTTTCACCACAGTACAATTAGTTTCAATGCTGGGGTGAGACAAAACATTCCTGTGCACTTCAGGTGGCATGGGAAGCATGGCTAGACCATGCTCTCAGCTGACTGTGGATGACCGGGGATGGGTGATTTGGTCACATAAGACCATAGGTAATACCCAGGCCTAGATGGATTGATGGAATCTCCTTCCTAGCAGTTCAGTGGACTATCCCCCCCAGGGCACCTGGACTGTAATGAAGGTTTTCAGCTCACCCTAGCCCTCAACCCAGCACCCTTGAGGTGGAAACCCACCAGATAGATGTCATTGGATTGTTGGTCATGTTTTAAAGTGCCAGATTCACCATCATGGCTTTTTCAACATTCTCAGTATTGATTAGTTGCAGAACATATCAGGTATGGGTGGGGGAAACAGCACAGGGATGACTGAAAGCAGATTTTTTAAGGGTTTGATTGTGTTGGACATATACCCTGATGACATTACTGTAGTGGGCACCAATATTTATGGGGATTACTCTGAGAAAATGGCCCAGATGGACCAGGAGGATGGTTTCATGAGTTGGGGTAGAAGAGGGAGCCTTGATGGTCCCAATTCATTGTTTGGCTTTGTTTGTATGATGACAAATTATCAAATAGACCATGTGATATACCATGTAAGCATTGGTAAGCACCTCACAGCATTTTAAACTTTGTTAAATTCAAAACTATGTAATCAGTCAAAAAACTGACCACATGACATGTCATTTTCAAATGGCTGCTATTCTATCAATTCCTATCCAAATCACTTGATTCATGGACCAATAGAAAGCCAAGAGTCAGTACCCTATTTCATACACTCATGGTTTAGGGCTAGGGTGAGGGGTTATTGTGTTTAGTCATAACTAATGTAAAACATACAAACATGCAGTCAGTTTTTTGAGCCACTGTAGCTATTAATTAACAAAGAACAGTTACCTCAGGCTTCAGTTAGAAGAAGTCTGAGGTACACCTGAAGGAAAAACAAACATCCTAAGTGCGAAGATTTATTATGTAAGCTTGTATGATGTAAGCAAAAGTCAGGTAAAGATGACAACACTTCAACACACCCCCTCAGCATAACAAGGCTTAGAAAATAATACCCATACCAGAAGGGAAACGCTCATGCTTCTTGTGTGATGGCCCCTTGGTGAGGACATCAGCCACCTGCTCATTTGTAGGTACATACTGGACTGCCAGGTCTCCACTCTCCACCTTTTCACAAATAAAATGATGACAGATTGATATGTGCTTGGTGCGGTCATGGAACATGGCATTAGCAGTTAGTGCTATCGCAGATTGATTGTTGACTAGAAGGGGGGTTGGTTGTGTGATCTTGACTGCATCTAGTTTGTGGAGTAAGGTGCAAACCCAAAGGAGTTCCTTTCCAGCTGCTGAAACAGCCATGTACTTGGCTTCTGTGCTTGACAGGGCTACAGAGGTCTGTTTCTTTGAAGACCAGCTTACAGCTCCACTGGACAGGGTGAAGACATAGCCTGAGACCAAGCAATGGTCATTAACATCTGTGGCCCAGTCTGCATCAGCATAACCTATGAGAGAGCCACTAGGGTCCCTTGTGTACTGTAGACACACACTCAAAGTTTTGTGCAGGTACTGGTAGACTCACTTCAGTGCAGACCAATGTCAGTCTCCAGGGGTAGCAGCATGCCTGCTGAGTACACCTACAGTGAAGGCAAGGTCAGGTCATGTCACCAACATGGCATACATCAGTGTGCTGAGTGCTGACTGATATGACTGAAGGCCACATGTGGGAGCATCAAGTTCTTCAAGTTTTAGGTTTTGCTCAATGGGTGTGGACACTGTCTGGCCATTCTGCATGCCTATGTGCTTGAGAATCTGTTGGAGTAGTAATCTGCACTAATCCTACAAGTGCCAATGAGTACCCAAGGCCAGGTAGCTCAGTGGTTAGAGCACCTGGGTATATGCCAGGGGGTCCTGGGTTCAAATCCTGGCTTGGTCATATTTTCCTTTAGTTGTTCACTGCTTGGCAAGCAGTAGGGTAGTTGGCCCTGAGGTCACATGATCTCAAATTCAACAGAATCAACTCTATATAGTGACATTGGGAGAGTTCTATCATTCCCTTGTCATGGTCTCATATAATCTCCATCCTGAGTATCCAATGAGCTTCCCCCAAGTCTGAGAGGTCATACTCAGCTGACAGTTGGGTTTTTAAGCATTTGATGGCTTTGCAACTCTTCAACAGGATTAGTTTATCATCGACATACACAGCTACAATGATTAGGGCACCATCTTTGACCTTGAAAAATAGACTATGGTCTGTGTCACTGCATGTGAATCCAAGTGACCTGAAGACTTCTTGAAGTCTCATATACCAGATTTTGGAGCTTGTTTGAGTCTGTAAAGCGCATGATGAAGGTGCCAGACAATGTTGCTAGAGTCATGAAAACCTGGAGGGGGATGAAGATAAATTTCTTCCTTGAGTTTGCCATTTACAAAGGCAGATTTCACATCCATCTGATGAACTTTGAGGTTGTACTTAGTGGCAAGGGCAAGCAGAATTCTTATCACAGAGAACTTGGCTATGGGCACAAATGTCTCCATGTAGTCAATGCCATGCACCTGTGTAAACCCTTTTGTGATGAGTTGCACCTTGTATTTGTCAATTTCACCTGTCAGTCCTCATTTTATTTTGTAGACCCATTTCAAGTCAATGATCTGTCAATCAGGTGGCTGAGGAACCTCCTCGTATAATCCTATATTTTTAAATGTTGTGAGTTCATCAGCCATGGCTGCATACCAGCAATCAGTGTCAGGACAATGCATTGCCTCTGCAAAGGTTGTGGGTTCATGATCACATGATGTGTTTGCTTGGTAAGCATTGTGGTGTTGCTGTTCACCATGAGGCTTATCACTGCCTTCACTTGCCATTTCCATGCTTTCTGGTGCTCTCTCACCACTCCCACCACCTTTGTCCCTTCCCACAGTGTCCTCTGCCACAGGTAGTGTCCATCATTCATAGGTGTTGACAAAATACCATTGATCATCATCTTTTACAGGCATTTTTCAAATTCTAGATGATCTTCTGATGCCTGGAGGTGGAATTGGGACCAGATATGGTCCTGGAGGTGTGTGTGATGACCCAGGGCATTGACCAGGCATAGGCATCACCTGGCACCTTCGTTCCAAGGTGTGTTTGTCCTTGTCATTCCCATGGTTCAACCCACTAACACCTTTTTCACTCTGGACTTGAATTCTGGGCTCAGATGATGAAACAACCTGATCGTTTGCGATCACCTCATCGCCATTGGTAGCCATAGTGTCGTCTATGTCCCCCAAGTCATGTACTAGGTTATTTCCTCCTTCTGAGGCTGCATCCAAGCTGTCAGAGCTGCTATTTTCCTCTGTGGGTGGGTACTTGTGCCCTCAAGCATTCTGATCACTGATAGTGGGCACTACAGGCTTTGTTTCCTTGATGACAACATCAATCTGGACTCAGGACTTGTCTGTCCCATCTCCCTCATTGAAAATGACATCACATGACTCCACAATCTGACCCAAAGTCTTCTGTACACAGGTGTACACCTTCTTGTTCTCTGAGTAGCCTAGGAACTGACATTCAATGGACATAACTCCCAGTATGTGGGTATGTGCTGTGCATCCAAAAACCTGTAGATGAGAAATTACTGGTTTATTTCCTGTGTATGCTTCGTAGGGTGTAAGATCTTGCTTGAGTGCCCTTGTAGGCAGGCAATTTATTATGTGTGCTGCATGGAGGATTGCATCTCCCCAGTACTTGTTGGGTAGGCCAGCATCACTTAGCATGGCATGTGCAGATTCTATGATGGTGTGGTTCATGTGCTCTGCTACTCCATTTTCTTGTGGTGTATATGCATTCATCTTCTCATGATGTATCCCTTTGGACTTCAGGTAGGCTTCAAATTCCTTCAAGCCATATTTGCCACCACCATTGTTGCGAAGGTAGTTTGGCCAACAACCTGTCTCTGCTTCTGCTCTCTTGAAGTACTGCTTCATGAGTGCAAAGACTTTGTCCTTTGATTTAGCCAATTTTACCACTAGATGATGTGAATGGCTATCGATGAAGGTCACAAAGTACTTGTGGCCTGTCTGTGCTGTTGTCTCCATGGGTCCACACACATCTGTGCAGGTCTGATGTAGTATGCAAGGATTTTCCACATCTGACTTCAATGAGATAGGGTCCTGGTGTTGTTTGCCTTTGAGGCAGGCCTTGCATGTGTGTGTGCTGATCTCCCTAGTCCCTATGATATCCCTTCCAGACACCATGTCCTTGTCCAACAGATTTAGGACATGTTTGACATTGGCATGTCCAAGACAGCAGTGCCATGTAATTAGAGTAGCTTTGGACATTGTCCAAGAGGTGAGAGCCATGTATGGCTCATTCGCATCAAGTGCATCTGGGGTATTGATGGTATAGGCAGCATGGCTCCCTGATATGACACTCGCTTCAAGTATGTAAAGGGATCTGTGTTTGGTGGTGAGAGCTACAACCTGGCCTTCTGCACAAACCTGGCATGTCCATTTTCCAAAGGTAACCTTTAGTCCTTTCAAGGCCAAAGAGGGGACTGACACAAGATTCATGTCAAGATCAGGAACATAGTATATGTCTCATAGGATGGTTTTGCTTGTGTGTCCATCCTTGAGGTGCATGGAGAGTTCAACTCTCCCCTTGCCTATGGCTTGGATTGTTCTGCTGTTGCTGATGATCACTGGTTGAGAGGGTACCAGTTTTCTGAACATCATAAACCATGACCACTGGCAGCACATGTGTGTGGAGGCCCCAGAGTCTACAACCCACTCTGATGTGCTGGTTTCTGGACATGTGCAAGCTACAAACAAGTGAAGAGGGCCTTCCTCTTCTTCTGCCACAGATGCAATCTTTGCTGTCAGTTCTGACTTCTCCTTAGACTTGTCCTTATCCCCATGTGAGGTACTTTGGGATGGACCTTTAGCTGCTTCATCCACTTTCTTCTTGTAGCATTTGTCCACTGTGTGTCCCATCTTGCCACATGGTGCATAGGCACACTTCTTCTCTTTTCTCTTCTTGTCTGCCACTTTTAACTTCTTGTCTGTGTTCATCTTTGTGGCAAGAGCAGAATGTGATTTCAAACTTTGTTGTGACTTTTCTTTGACAAGGACTTGGGAAATAACCATCTCAGGAGTTATCTTGTCATTTGATGACATTAGGATTGTGCAGAGGGTAGAGTATGATGGTGGGAGCAAGATGACCATCACAATGGCTACAAGTGAGTCCTCAAGTGGTTGTCCAAGTGAGGTGAGGATGTGAGCCTTCTGATGCATTGCATTCAGCTGCATTTCCATCAGTTGGTCATCTGCAAGTGTTCCTCAGAACAACTTGCTGACAAGGCAAGCAATAGTCTGCTTTCCTTTTCCTTTGTATCTCTCACCAAGTTTCTTCCATGTCTCAGTAGTAGTTTTTGCATATAGTACTCCACTAAGGGGTTCATCCTTGAGTGTGAGTGTGATTTGCACACATGCTTCCTGGTCCTTGAGGAGCCATTCCTCATACTCATCAGGATGAGTTTTCTGGTCTGGAGGTTTTACCTCCATGTCTGTACCAGCAACAACAGTCCAGAGGCCATGAACTGTTAAGACTTTTCACATTTGGAATTTCCACATTTGATAGTTCAAACCATCATCTGCAAGGGGAGCTATGTCATAGAGTCAACTCAAGCCTTGCAAGACTCTTGTAGAAGTAGAGGCTGATGTACTTGCACTTGTGGATGGGCCTAGAGCCCAAGATGTTGATGCTGAAGGTCCAGATGACATGTCTTAATGTATACTGTGGTACCACTTGGTTCAAGTTTGCTACTGTAAGGTTAGAGCTGCTTGGGGCACATAACCTCTTGAAGGTAAGCTGAGACAAGGGACCTAGGAAGGAGACTCAGGCTTCAGTTAGAAGAAGTCTGAGGTACACCTGAAGGAAAAACAAACATCCTAAGTGCGAAGATTTATTATGTAAGCTTGTATGATGTAAGCAAAAGTCAGGTAAAGATGACAACACTTCAACACGGCCCACTGCAAAGAAGTAGCTTGTAAATCACCCCCAACTGCATCTACATCTGCACCTTGCTCTATGAGGTGATGACAAGTAGCCAGCTGCATGTTGATCACTGCCCAATGGAGAGGTGTACTAGGGGAATGTGTGTAAATGACAATGGTGTAAATGAATGGCAAACACCTATAGGTTTTGACTGTCTCTATCACTGACAGTTGCTTTTCCAGATTTGACCAGTTCTCAGATGGTAGCAAGGTCACATCACTGCACTGCCACAATAATCTCAGTCTGAAAACATCATGAGTGTGTACAAACTGTCAATGCAGAAAGGTCATTTGGCACCACTACTTGCTGCATCAAGCAGGTAAATGAGAGGTCCATTGCTGATGCTCATTCAGCATCTACCTTCACTGTGGCTTACTCACTCATTGTCATTGTGCATTGTTGTCTGCATTGGGGCAGCTTCAGCACTGATTGATGGCTGTCTGCCAATAACAGGCCCAGAAACATGTGACTAACCCCAATTTCTTTTCAGCTAACCCTATTGTTGACCATTGATCACTGAGGTCAGTCTCCTATGCTTGCAAGCAGGGTGTCAAGTTTACTGAGCAGGTGTGTTTCTGCAGAAGTGGCTGTACAGTGGCCTGCCTGCAGCACCTTACACCTCAACTCTGGGATCCCAGTAGTGGCCTCCCACCACACATCTGATGCTATTACACTTGATGTCCATTCTGCTCACATGCTTCCTTGTCTGCAATAAACCTCCTATCTCTGCCATCCTCAACTGTCAGCTCATTGTCCTATGGGGATATAATTGTGCATGTTCTCACATACCTCATGTCACCTCTACCTTTGGATGGCGCATGCCAAACACCTGGAATAGACATACTGTCTTTCTCGAGAAACATCAGTCTGGCACTTGTTGGAGTGTTCCTTGGGAGCAT